TGCGAATCTGAAGAAGGGTTCTTGGGATCATCGCGAACGGAGGGAAGGCGTAGGCTCCCGTCGTCGGCCATTTCTGAAGAAAGGCATCTACTGCCAAACATTCCGGGTCTGGTAGCCAGCTGAAGAAGCGTGGGACTTGAAAATTCGTCCGGGAGGCGAACAGGTCCAGAGTAAACGGGCCCCTGAGTTTGGAGACGTGGAGGAAGACTGACCTGTGTAAGCGCCAGTCGCTGCCGTCTCTCCAATGTCGGGAGAACCAATCCGCAGTGGTGTTCGTCTCCCCCGGAAGGTATTCTGCCCGGAGTGTTATGTTGCGCTGGAAGCAAAAATTGTAGATGTCCTTTGTCACCTCGGACAGGGTGTGAGATCTGGCCCCGCCCAATTTGTTGATGTATTGAACGGCCGAGATATTGTCCATTCGGAGGAGAATACAGCAGTCTGAGAGATGATTGGCCAGACTGCGGATTGCAAACGATCCTGCGATTAATTCCAGACAGTTGATGTGGAGAGAGTGTTCTGCGTCGGTCCATGGTCCCCCGGTGGAAGTTGTATGACAAGTTGCACCCCAGCCTTGGAGGCTCGCGTCTGATTCCACCACAAAGTCCGGAGTGGGACCAAAAATTGCTTTGCCGTTCCAGGCAGACATGTGGCGAAGCCACCAGTAGAGTTCCTCCCTCACCTCGGTAGTGATCGGGACCCTTTGGTCGTATGATGGATGGGTCTGGAGGAATTGAGCCTTCAAGCGTTGCATGGCCCGATAATGGAGGGGACCTGGGTAGATTGCTTGAATGGAGGCAGAAAGCAGGCCTATAATCCGAGCCAAACCTCGGAGAGGTAGATCCACTTGGCGAAGCGTCTTGCGCAGTTCCTTCCTGATCGCGGTTAACTTGGACTGAGGCAGGCGGAGAACACAGGTGGAGGAGTCGATCTCGAAGCCGAGAAACTGTATGATTTGGGATGGAGTCAGCGAGGATTTTTCCTTGTTGATGACGAATCCCAAGGATTCTATCAATGAGGATGTGTAGTTCGTCTGTGACTGCAGCGTGGAGATGTTGTCGCAGAGTAGTAAGAGGTCGTCGAGGTAGATTAGGCAGCGAAAACCCCTTGCTCGAAGATGTGCGGTGACTGGCTTGAGCAGTTTGGTGAAGCACCAGGGAGCGGAACTCAGGCCGAATGGAAGGCAGGTGAATTGGAAGATCCGGTGGTGCCAGGGGAAGCGGAGGAAACGTCGACTGGATGGATGTACTGGCACGGAGAGGTAAGCATCCTTGAGGTCGAGTCGGGTGAACCAATCGCCTGGACGGAGAATGTCTCTGAGGAGATGTATCCCTTCCATTTTGAAATGCCGGTATATCACGAAGGTATTCAATTGGCGAAGGTTGATTACCGGGCGAAATTCTCCCGATTTCTTTTTGACCAGGAATATGGAACTTAGAAAGCCTTCGTCGTGTGGAGCGGGTTGAATTGCTCCTTTTGTTAGCAAGGAACGTAGTTCTGAATCGAGGAGGAGCCATTGAGATTTTGACATTATCGGGTAATGGGGAGGACCTGTTTGAGTAGGGAGAGAATAAAACTCTATGAAATAACCCTGAACCGTGTTTAGAACCCATGTATCTGAAGACAGCGTCTTCCACATATCCACACAATGTAACAACCTGCCCGCATGAGAAACCGTAGAGAGGTGAAAAGTAGGAAATCTCACCTGTTGGGTATCTGTAGCGTCCACGGGCTCTACCTCCTCTTCCCCTATCTGACCTTTGGGTGTAGAAACCTCTATTTTGATAGTTGGGGAAGAATGGTGAAGTGGGGGTTCGTTGGCGTTGGCTTGTGGGCCAGAAGCGGCTGACTGCACGACCCCTTGGACGGCCAGCCCTGCCAAAAACCCGAGAGGGTTGTTGGTGGAATACTCTTCTCATGGATGATTGCGCCTTGTTCAGGGTGGCGTATAAATTTACATGCTTGTGTAATTCTTTAATATAGGGTTCTCCAAATAATAGACCCTTGGCCTTGGGGCCCAACTCTTTGGTCCCTAGGTCGGCTAGTTTGGCATCCATACGCAGCAGCACTGCTTTTCTACGCTCGGTAGAGAGGGAAGTATTTGCATTGCCCAGCAGGCAAATGGAGCGTAGTGCCCATTCTCTGATCACAGATGGGTCTAAAGGGCCCTCGTTAGTGAGGGCTTCATCAGCCAGTAGTAGAATTCTTGCCAAGGGCCCTAGGACATCCAACATCTTGTCCTGGGTGATGCGTAGGCTGCGCTCAATGCCCTTTTTAGGGTCACGGCCAGATCTGGCTAAATATGTGTAGAGCAGGGAATCAAACTCCGGGGTCATAGCGACCTTGTCTGGTAAGGTGGGTCTAGGGCATTCAGCTCTTAGGCGTTTGCGGACCTCCCGGTCTAGGGGTCTCCTTATCCAGAAATGGATATATTGTGAAAGGTGATTTGGGAGTGACCATTCTGAAGATCGAGGGTATCTGATCTGTCGTGGGTCAAATAGTGGTTCACCAAGCGTATCCAGAAAGGTTTCGGGTACTGAAACCTCAGTAGTGGGGTCTCCCGTGATATCTTGAGGGAAAGGTGCTTCTCTGAAAGATGTCTCAGGCCAGACTTCTTCGTCTTCTGAAGAGTGGCCAGCTTGCCATTCATCTAGAATGGCCAATGGGTGTGAGTCGAAAGAGTCGTCTTCCTCCTCCGACAAGGTAGGCTGTATGGAATGTTTTTCCCTGGCGTCCGCTTGTTTTGGGCGTTTAGCCGGTTCTTTCCCTTTGCGTTTGAGTGATTCTGGCCCATCCCCTTTCCAATATCGTTTATTGAGTTTGGAAGGGTTCCTTCTTGTAGAATCGGAATCATCCGCCTCTTCATCAGAGTGCGGGGGCTCAGAAATTTTGGTATCTTTGGGCTCAATGGGCAGCACCCGAGCCAGGGTCTTTTCTAGTGAAGCGGCAACAGCCGCGTTTATAATCGCTTGCAGATTTTGGTCTTGGTTTGAAGCCTCCATAGCAACAGTGTTGGTACCTATGGGGCAGAATAGGCCAGCATTAGAATGTATTTTAGGGCCGTCTTGTATATCAAAAGATATTTAATTTCAACAGTGCAAGCTGTAATGGGGGTCACCCAGATACAATAACCTCAGAGTGCTTATTTAAACTCGTGTAGAGGTATGGTGGCACAGACAAAGCGGGCCAGTCATGGGCTGTATGGTATAACAGCAATCATAAAATATATAGGGACTTACCCTTAGAAAAATCACAATATGACTGTGATAAATATTTAGCTGGCTGGTATTGGGGGTTGCTCCCAATATAACAGTATTGAGTAGTTTAATATACATGCATAATAATATTGGTAATGTAGTACCTTTAATTCACCACCAGGGGGAGTAGTGTAAGCGAAAATTCTCCTGAACTGAATTACAGAGAGAAGTATCTCTTGTGAAAAACAAATTCTGCTGAGAAATATAAGTGAGAACTTATATATGTGAAACTTGTAAGATATTTGTACTGCCGATTAACAATTAAAATGGCCGCCGTGCGGCTAGAATGGTCGCCGATCCGGGCTCCAACAAAATGGCCGCCGCGATCTCGCGCATGCGCAAAAGGTGCAAACGGCCGTTCGGATCTCGCGGCAATGCGCGAGATCCAAGATGGCCGCCGTGCGCACTCAGGGCCGATGGAGGCGTACTCCACAGCCCAAAAGCCCGGGAAAAACGGGGCAAAATATGCCGACCGCAACCCGGACCAATAAAAGTAAGAGACACAATGAAAAGTATAGAAAAATGAAACAGAACGTAAGGGACAGTACCAAAGGACTAAAGGGAGAAAATTAGGCAGTAATAAGTTAAGAGAGAAAACTTTAGAAGATAGCTAAGGTGGGACAAGCACCTTAGAAATAGGAATATAAGAATATAGCTAAAGTATGGGAAACATAGCTAAGAAAAAACAAAGATTAAATAACAAGTTAAAATAAAGAGGATAGTAAATAACCCACAGAAAGTAAGAGGCAGTGGCACTCTGACCTGTACTGGTGTGAAGCAGCAAAGAAAGAGGAAGTGACATCACAGGGAGGGACTCTTATACCTTGTTATCTCTTTTTCTGATTGGTTACCCTGTTACTAAGAAAAAAAGTGCTGCTGTGAAGCTTAAGTAAAGAAAGACTTAAGCAAATACGAAGCCTCCTGTCATGTTATAAAATTGAAACCACATTCCATTCTCTCCTAAGTTCCATACAGCCTGTCCATTTAAGGTAATCCTGTGTATCCTTGATTATTTACTAGCAGTAGAAAGAGGTGTGTGCGGAAAGTTTAATTTAAGTACTTGTTGTCTACAGATAGACGACGAAGGGCAATCTTACTAGTCACATGGTTAAATTGACACACATACCTACTCAGATCTGGAACTGGTATAATCCAGGTAGTTGATTCCAAAGCTGGTATGAACAGTTTGGAGGGTTAAAGGCACTGGTATGAGGAGTGGTAGTTATCATTATCTTATGTCTCTTACTACCCTGCTTGATTCCTTTAGTAATACGGTCTGTACGTAGTGTTATCGAGAATACTATTGAGAGAAAGACGGCAGCCCATGCAATGGCCAACTGGAGATATGAACCTCTATTCCAGAGAAAAGTAACCTGTAATCAATTAGTTGAGCTTTAATAAGTTTACATAGGAACTTCTAGGGTAGTTTAAAAAGCTTCTAGAGTTTTTCCTGTTCTGTATTTACCTGAGTGGTATTGGCAAAGTATGGTAAGTGATGCATCTGGAGTACGTAGTATTAGAAGCATCAAAGGGGGGAATGTGAGAGGGATCTAAGCTAGGCCCAAAATTTAGTAGGCCTAAAATCTCCACATGGAATACACAAGTACATGTATCTGTTAGCTAGTTATACGTAGTCATGAAACTGTGATCAATGTACTGAGCATGCGCAACAATTGAAACCACATTCCATTCTCTTCTAACTTCCATATTGCCTATCCATATAAGGTAATCCTGTGTAACCTGTTTGCTGATTGGTGTAAGGGTACAGATGGGGGATGTATAGTCTATAAAACACCTGTACACCATGTGATCATGGCTCAGACCTTGGACACTAATCGACTGAGACCCGATCAGTGAAAAAAAAAGATCTTTGCTTCCTGAACTGACCTGCGTCCAGACTCTCTGTGTGTGGTATCTTCAGTGTTCCCCTATAATAAAATGAATATCCAAAGGATTTCTGAGCAATAAAGCGACACATGAATTCAAAGTAGAGTTGTGATTCAGGGGTTAAAGAGACATAAGTGCCGTATGATAGAAAATAGACACCATTCTCACAGAGTGTTGAAAATATCCTGTGTGAGGATCACAGAATGAGGGGAGAGAGAGAGAAAAAAAAACAATGAACAAACAGCGCAGGAGATGGTGATAGGAGGGGAAAAGTAAAAAAATGAATTACACAGATTAAGAATACATGTACTCACATCTAAGAATCCAGAATATACATGCAGGCCTATATACTACCTACATATACATATATACACATATACCTATATATGAATTCAATATACATATAAACATATATATATATAAAGTACTGTCAGGAGGCAGTGCCTGTAGTAGTCTTCTCAAGCTCAGTGAGATATAAGGGAAAGAGGAGAGGACATGGGTATAGTGTAGTATGTTAAATAGCTGATAGTGGTAAATTAAGAAAAATAAAGAAAAATTTGCACTTACAATTTTCTGGAGCTTATTTTCAGCTCCAGATATATGCGCCTGGACGGTACAAATTTTTAACTACTTCTTTTTGTGGCAAACCTAGCCACTTATAATATTCTGGTCTATGCACAGAAAAGGTTGCCTATAAAATTCTTGTACTGTCTGGTGTAACTTGGCTGTAACATGTGTATTACTGTATGTATATATTGCATTCGTATGCTAGCAGCCGAAATCCGCTAGCATTCATGTGTTTCGTTTCACGAACAGCCACTTTACAGGCTGTTTGTGAACCGAATGAGCTACCCCCTAATAGCCCACACAGAGAGGGACGTATGGTGCTCGTTAACCGATTGCAACAATGTTGTAATCGGTAATTAGAGGCTTTCCTAGGTGGCCGTCGTTCGGCTACCGACCACGCGGCAGTCGGCCATCTTGGATCCTTTGTCTCCCCAGCGATGTTTGGTCATCGAGCGCGTGGAACTGAAAACGGCTACTCGACGGCGTGAACACCGCTGGACTTCCAGGCCGTTCGGGAGCTCTGGTCTTTCACTATTAGGGTTCCCCCATCGGTGTTCGGTACTTTGGGGCGAACTCAATGGCAAAGTGTATTTCATGCGGCGTTCGGTTGTTTTAGCTGGATCTGAGCGGTATTCTCACGAACTGTGCATTCAGACCCCAGCTATCTACCGAATGTCCATTCGTTTAAATCACTCAAGTATTGTAAAAGTTATACATTTTAAAGTGAATTGCCGGTTCTGCTGCACGGAGGGATAATCCACTTAACGGTACATTCCAGTGGGAGTATCCCTCTCGTGCAGCAGTGCCTGATGGGAGAAAGGGTCTGAATGTTAAGTCCCCCATGTAGTCCCCTACTGAAATACCCCTGCTATGACAGTATGGAAACCCCTTGCATGGGGACTTGCATAAATACTGGATGCTGTGAATAAAAACCTCAGTTGACTCCCAGAACTGTGTTTCATCCGGTTACTGGGGGATTTGGGATATTGCCTTACTTTCCAGCGCTTTACTTTGGATTACTTTCTTAACCAGCGGAGAAATTGGGATTTCATATTGCAGCTCCGCTACAATTGGTGGCAAGCGACGGGATCCAACCTTACAGCCGAAAAGCGTGGTTCGTGCAATTGAAACTGCCAAACAGGAAAGGGAATGGCAATTGGAATGCAACAAAAGAACCGAACGCAGAAGTGAATGGAGACGGATTATGCTACATTAAAACGGCAGACGTTAAAGGAACTGCTGGAAGCCAGAGGTAAAATAGCCAGCAACAAATCAAAAGCTGTGCTTATTGCCGAACTGATGGAGGGAGACAGAGCTCGCAAACGTTACACCCCCATCAGCCACGGAGGAGACCCTCTACCAGAGGGAAATGAGGACCAGGATGGAATTTTTACCCCAGCCTGTACCACTGGAAATGCTGACTGTACTGATGGCGGATGTGCAGGAGTATGTGATGGCACACGGACCGCAGAATTCACCCTCCAGGGCAGAATCTATTACGGCTGCAGTCAGCAATCAGGTAAAGCCTAAAATCCCTTACCATGCGTTTAAAATGTTTTGCGAAGATAAGGACGAAATTGATGGATACTTACAAGACTTTGAAAGGCTATGTGATTTACATGATTTGGAGCAGGCAGTATGGGTGCCGTTACTGGCAGGCAAACTGGCAGGTCGGGCAGCAGAAGCCTATCACGCTGTACCCAGAGAGGACAGCAAAGATTATGCGAAGGTAAAAAGAGCCATACTATGCCATTACTCCAGAGGCATACAGGCGCAAATTCAGAGGATTGCGCAAACCGGAGAAAGATTCTCATGCGGAGTGGTCGCACAAGCTAGATGAAGCATCACAGGGGTGGATACAGGCAAGTCAAGCCACCACGATGGAGGAGTTGCAACAATTAATGTTGTTAGAGCAATTCTTTAATGGTTTGCCCCCAGAGGCACAAGAATGGCTGAGAGACCGCAAACCCCTCACCCTAACTGAAGCAGCCCGGTTAGCAGATCAACATTTTGACGCAAGGAGGCACCACGGGCCCTTGAATCGGAATTACCCTCAACCCACTGTGCAACCCAGTACAGTCACGCCTACGACTTCCACCACAACCACCTTTAGACCGACCCAGGGGAACCAACCTCCACCCTCACGATACAATGGCAGGGCGAACATCCAATGCCATACCTGCAGGCAGTGGGGACATATGTCTCGAGAGTGCATGCAGAATAGGAGTCGACAAGCCTGGAACCAAGTTCGTCAGAACCCTGCACCTAGGGCCGCTGCCCATCACTACCAAGCAGAACCAGTAACCCAGGAGTTATTGAGCACTCAAGCAGAGGAACCCCTGGGAATACTACATGAGGTGATGTCAGTACAAGCCACTGACAACCGGCAACATCATTGCCAGCTGGTGACATTGGAGGGAAAAGAAGTGCAGGGGCTCCGGGATTCAGGAGCCACCCTAACTTTGGTCGCACCCCATTTGGTTCCGGGTACAGCACACACTGGCGGATCTGTGGTGGTACGAGTGGCAGGGGGAGCAGTGTACCGACTATCCACTGCCAAAGTACATTTGAACTGGGGTGCTGGGGAGGGGATGGTAGAAGTGGGCATCATGCAGAAGTTACCTGCAGATGTTGTGTTTGGAAATGACTTGGGCCGGATTACCTCTGCTTTTATACCGCAGGCACCACTTCAGGAAGCCCATCCAGTGACCACCCGGCAGCAATCTCGCACCACGGTTCCACCAACACACTCTGAGGCTCAGGTAAGAGACAATGACCCCCATACGACATGTATGACCTGGGTTACCAAGACTACATTTGAGGCAGAGGTTAAGTTAGACCCCACATTGCAGGTCTACAGAGACAGGGTGAGCACAAATCAGGCTGGGTTAGAGGGGGAGTGGTATAGATGGGAGAAAGGGCTACTGTATCGTATTGCAGAAAGAGTAGTAGGGGGATCAGTCACAGTAACGACTAGACAGTTAGTAGCTCCCCAAAAGTATAGGCAAGAACTGCTTAGGATTGCGCATGATATTTCCTTGTCTGGGCATCTGGGAATGACACGTACCCGGTACAGGCTAAGCCACGCCTTTTTCTGGCCAGGGATTTCCAAAGATGTGAGGCATTACTGCAACTCGTGTGACATTTGCCAGCGAGTGGGGAAGAGGGGTGACCGCCACAAAGCTAAATTGTGCCCCCTTCCCATTATTGAAGAACTGTTTAGTAGAGTGGCAGTAGACTGTCACATATTCATCCGCTTATAGAAATGTGGTTAATGACATTTACTGTCCACACAGGAAAAGTTGTGCCGAGCAGCAACCTAATCCACAGAAGGGTTAATGCTGAGCAGTAATTGTGCAAATGAAACCTGGTGTCATGTATTCATCCGCTTAGAGAAAAGTGATTAATGACATTTACTGTCCACACAGGAAAAGTTGTGCCGAGCAGCAACCTAATCCACAGAAGGGTTAATGCTGAGCAGCAATTATGCAAATGAAACCTGGTAACTGACTTTGGGGTCAAAGGCCGGTTACAGCCTATCAGAACTAAAGGAGGGGTATTTAGGCCCAGTTCTCAGCCTGCTCAGTGCCCTGTCGTGGTTTCCCTTGTGGTTGTCTGAGAGCGTGTTCCTGTTTATAGTTTTCTACCTGGTTTTTGACTTTGGCTTTGTTTATATGCCAGGCTGTTGCGCTGGAGTTTGGCGCTGCAGCCTTTTGACTTTACAATCCATTATCGGCCGGGAAAACAAAACGGTAACACCGACGGGTTATCTAGACAGACTGAACTTGAGAAGTGATCTGTGGGCACTCCTCCGGACATCCCCAAGCCGATCCGTTGGGATCAGACTGTGTATGCCGGCTTGGTTCTGGGGGAGCATTGTGGCAAACCTAGCCACTTATAATATTCTGGACTATGCACAGAAAAGGTTGCCTATAATAATTCTTGTACTGTCTGGTGTAACTTGGCTGTAACGTGTATTACTGTATGTATATATTGCATTCATATGCTAGCAGGCGAAAGCCGCTAGCATTCATGTGTTTCGTTTCACGAACAGCCACTTTACAGGCTGTTCGTGAATCGAATGAGCTACCCCCTAATAGCCCACACAGAGAGGGACGTGTGGCGCACGTTAACCGATTGCAACAATGTTGCAATCGGTAATTAGAGGCTTTCCTAGGTGGCCGTCGTTCGGCTACCGACCACGCGGCGGTTGGCCATCTTGGATCCTTTGTCTCCCAAGCGGTGTTTGGTCGTCGAGCGCGTGGAACTGAAAACAGCTACTCGACAGCTGGACTTCCAGGCCGTTCGGGAGCTCCGGTCTTAAGCTATTAGGGTTCCCCCATCGGTGTTCGGTACTTTAGGGCGAACTCAATGGCAAAGTGTATTTCATGCGGCGTTCGGTTGTTTTAGCTGGGATCTGAGCGGTATTCTCACGAACTGTGCATTGAGTGATTTACAGCTTTCTCAAAAGTGAATCTGGGTATTAAAACAGAATCTTTATTAATAAACAGAATGAATAAAACTATTTAAAAGTGAACTATATAGTAAAAAGAACTATAAATAAAACCAGTCTTTATTAATAAACAGAATGAATAAAACTATTTAAAAGTGAACTATATAGTAAAAAGAACTATAAATAAAACCAGTATTAATAAACAGAATGAATAAAACTATTTGAAAGTGAGCTATATAGTAAAAAGAAGTATAAATAAAACCAATTCACTTTTGAGAAAGCTGTAAGCGAAATGTCAAGTGGAGATTAAGGATTGCCTACAAGGACTGGTTTTATTTATAGTTCTTTTTACTATATAGTTCACTTTTAAATAGTTTTATTCATTCTGTTTATTAATAAAGATTCTGTTTTAATACCCACTCACTCTTGAGCTCCTTATACTCTCATCATCACTCTGCTGTTCCGGATCTACATATATCTCTAGGTGGGGATTGTTCCACCTAAAGCTCCATACACTAGAGCAGGTCATTGCTCTAGCAAATGTAAGTAGGTCAAATATTATTTACTTTTCCTACTTTTACATACGTACTGTACCATTGGTATAAATCCTTATTTTTTTCATATGATGAACCGCACTACCTTGGGAATCTGATACCAGCAAAAAGAAATCCTTAGACGGGGATTGTTCCGTCCAGGCTCCTAAAATAGATCTTTTTAAGCTCTGGAAAACGTGAGTTCCACTTTGGAATAAATCTTTATCACCATATTATTCATAACATACTGCACTATCATTGTACTTTTAATTTCCTTTTTTTAAGAGTAAGACACATAATTGCGAAATCTGCTGCTACCTCTGTATGTATGATTTTATTATAATAATTCTTAGCGCTCTCCACCTAATTTACTAGCTTACAAATAAAACACTGCAAAGTTGTACAAATGGTAAATCTTCAGCTGGTATAGCATCGTGGGAGTTGTACAACAAGTGGGAATCTATCTTTTACCCACCGTTTTGCTAGTTGGGGGCCCAAAAACATTTCTTGCACCACGGCCCTCTCTACATTAGTTCCGACAGTGAGCCTCTATACTTTTGCATATAGCTTGGTCAATTTACATATCCACACCCCTGTACGTGCAGCAGGGCCGGATTAACATAGGGGCTGATGGAGCTGCAGCTCCAGGCCCAGGCCCATGGGATAGGCCCATTTAAAAAAAAAAAAAAAAATTCTTTTTTTATTTTTTTACACACTACTCTTAGGTTTGCCACCTGACTGGTATTTTAATGGCACAGATGGTATTTGAGGATGCCTGGCCGTGCCGCTATTGCAGTAATACCGGCAATACAAATGCAGGTAATTTTCTCAGAATAAATGGAAATTACTCTGCAATACCAGCACCGGCCAGTAGGGGTCACTGTGCATGGAGAGAGGCAGGGATAGGAAGTAACAGCATATCCCTGCCTCTCTCTACTACTCACTGATCCGTGGGGGAGCAGCTACACAGCACAGAGAGTCCAGACAGCAGCTGCACAGCTCAGGTAAGTGAGGGATGGGGGGAACAGCAGCAGGGACACATGGGGACACTGAGACACTAGGGGACACATGGGGACACTTAGACACTAGGGGACATATGGGGACACTGAGACACTAGGGGACACTGACACTAGGGGACACATGATGACACATACACTAGGGGACACTGAGACACTAGGACACATGGGGATGCTGAGACACATGGGGATGCTGTGAGACATAAGGAGACATAAGGACATTGGGAGAAATTGGGACATGGAGACACTATGACACTATGTCCAGTGTCCCTAGTGTCTCTGTGTCCCCAAGTCTCCCAGTGTCTGTGTCCCATGTCTCTCAGTGTGCCTAGTGTCCCCATGTGTTCCAATGTCCCCATGTGTTCCAATGTCCACATGTCTATGTCCACAACTGTCCCCATGTGTCCCCTAGTCTCCCAGTGTCCCCTAGTCTCCCAGTGTCTGTGTCCCTAGTGTCTCAGTGTGCCTGGTGTCCCCATGTCTCCCAGTGTCCATATATGTCCCAGTGTCCACATGTCTATGTCCACAACTGTCCCCATGTCTCCCAGTGTCCCCAAGTGTCTGTCTCCCAGCCAGTGTCCCCTAGTCTCCCAGTGTCCACTAGTCTCCCAGTGTCTGTGTTCCCATGTCTGTGTCCCTAGTGTCTTAGTGTCCCCAAATGTTTCAGCGTCCCCATGTCTCCCAGTGTCTGTGTCCCTAGTGTCTCAGTGTCTCCATTTCTCCCAGGTTCCCTAAATATCTGTGTCCCCATGTCTCCCAGTGTCCCCGGGTCTCTCAGTGTCCCCATGTCTCTCAGTGTCCCCAGTATCCTAGTGACATGGGGACACACTGAGACATTGGGACACTGGGAGAAATGGGGACACACACTGGGAGACTAGGGGACTGGGTGACATGGGGACACTGACACTGTGATACATAGGGACACAGACACTGGGTGACTTGCGAGACTGAGACACTGGGAGACACTGGGAGCAATCCATCTATACAGCAGAATCAAACTGTGAGTAGTTGGTGATTTTACAGAATTTTCTCTGATGTCACTCCTTGTGATTTACACGCATAACTAATTAATTATAGAAATGATTAAGGCTGGTATTTTTTTCCAAGAAAGGTGGCAACCTTAACTACTCTTCACATACTCTTGCTTAAAGGAGCACTATAGTGTCAGGAACACAATCATGTATTTCTTACCCTATTATGTTAAAACCACCACCCTGGCCCCTTCTTGCCTCCCTAAATATAGTAAAATATTACTTGTATTCAATTCTGCAGCTGCTGGCTCAGAGGTGGTGGTCTGAGCAAATTACAATACTTCCCCATAGGATTGGCTGAGACTGTCAACTAGGCAGATCAGGGGCAGAGCCAGCACAAGTCCAACATAGCCCTGGCCAATCAGCATTTCCTCATAAATATAAATTGAATCAATGCATCTCTATGAGGAAAGTTCAGTGTCTGCATGCAGAGGGTGGAGACACTGAATGGCAGTGCTGCACACTAGGCAGTACTGCCCCAGGAAGCACCTCTAGCAGACATCTAAGGAGCGGCCAGTGGAGTTATTTTCTCTGAAAAGACAGTGTTTACTGCAAAAAGCCTGAATGGAATTATTCTACTTACCAGAACAAATACAATAAGCTGTAGTTGTTCTGGTGACTATAGTGTCCCTTTAAGTTTGGAAGCTTAAGAGGGATGTATGGGAACAAAACTTGTGTGCACTGGCTGACATTAAAGTTAGTTTAGGTAATGCAGACGTTGGTCTCTCTAACACTGTGGCATGTCCCCTTTCTTCTACACTCACTACAGACATCTTTTCTCTGTCTCAGACTATACCAGGAACTTCTGCCTGCTAGTAAGAAGGTAACGAGACAAGTGGACCAGCAAGTGCTAGGGGACAGTCTTTAGAAAGAATGGAGTGAGCGCATCATTAGACACATTTGACACAGTATGACCTTAGTTGGACAGCCTGCTGGATTGGCAGGCAGCCTGACATGCACTCATGCCAGGCTGACCTTCCAATTCTTTGGACAAACATGCCCCCTTTTTGGGCATGTTCACCCCTTTTGGCAGGTCTTGTCACGTGATTCGTGCCAGTGGCACACCCTTTTACCCCGCCCATTGACTTCCTGCTTCACTGTACAATGCTGTTAGGGATTATGGATTTACTTGAAAGATGAAAGCATAAATTAGAGAGAAATTAGCATAGAGTATGTGTTAGAAACATAGAAACATAGAAACATAGAATGTGACGGCAGATAAGAACCATTCGGCCCATCTAGTCTGCCCAATTTTCTAAATACTTTCATTAGTCCCTAGCCTTATCTTATAGTTAGGATAGCTTTATGCCTATCCCACGCATGCTTAAACTCCTTTACTGTGTTAACCTCTACCACTTCAGCTGGAAGGCTATTCCATACATCCACTACCCTCTCAGTAAAGTAATACTTCCTGATATTATTTTTAAACCTTTGTCCCTCTAATTTAAGACTATGTCCTCTTGTTGTGGTAGTTTTTCTTCTTTTAAATATAGTCTCCTCCTTTACTGTGTTGATTCCCTTTATATATTTAAATGTTTCTATCATATCCCCCCTGTCTCGTCTTTCCTCCAAGCTATACATGTTAAGATCCTTTAACCTTTCCTGGTAAGTTTTATCCCGCAATCCATGAACCAGTTTAGTAGCCCTTCTCTGAACCCTCTCTAAGGTATCAATATCCTTCTGAAGATACGGTCTCCAGTACTGTGTACAATACTCCAAGTGAGGTCTCACCAGTGTTCTGTACAATGGCATGAGCACTTCCCTCTTTCTACTGCTAATGCCTCTCCCTATACAACCAAGCATTCTGCTAGCATTTCCTGCTGCTCTATTACATTGTCTGCCTACCTTTAAGTCATCAGAAATAATCACCCCTAAATCCCTTTCCTCATATGTTGAGGTTAGGACTCTATCAAATATTCTGTACTCTGCCCTTGGGTTTTTACGTCCAAGATGCATTATCTTGCACTTATCCACATTAAATGTCAGTTGCCACAATTCTGACCATTTTTCTAGTTTACCTAAATCATTTGCCATTTGGCTTATCCCTCCTGGAACATCAACCCTGTTACATATCTTAGTATCATCAGCAAAAAGACATACCTTACCATCAAGACCTTCTGCAATATCACTAATAAAAATATTAAAGAGAATGGGTCCAAGTACAGATCCCTGAGGTACCCCACTGGTGACAAGTCCAAGCTTCGAATATATTCCATTAACTACCACCCTCTGTTGCCTGTCACTCAGCCACTGCCTTACCCATTCAACAATATTTGAATCCAAACTTAAAGATTGCAGTTTATTGATAAGCCTTCTATGTGCAACAGTGTCAAAAGCCTTACTGAAATCTAGGTAAGCAATGTCTACTGCACCACCCTGATCTATAATTTTAGTTACCCAATCAAAAAAATCAATAAGATTAGTTTGGCATGATCTCCCTGAAGTAAACCCATGTTGTCTCTGATCTTGAAATCCATGTGTTTTTAGATGTTCATCAATCCTATCCTTTAACATGGTTTCCATCACTTTCCCCACTACTGAAGTAAGGCTTACTGGCCTATAGTTGCCCGACTCCTCCCTATTACCTTTCTTGTAAATGGGCACAACATTCGCTAACGTGTTTTCTTATAACTGCATCCTATGAGTTTCCCTCCAGCACCATCTCCATCAGATACATGACGCTTGGGAGGTATGATTGTTTTAGTGTTTTTGGTCGATAAGATTCCGTAATTAGGCCCATTATAATTGTCAGCACCAGGCCCACTGTGCTCTTAATCCGGCCCTGACGTGCAGTCACACATGCAGTCACACACTAGCGCTCAATACACATGTACATTCACACTGACACTGTGTACAAAAACACACATGCATCCTTCAAGACAATGCATAAGTGCATTCATACAGATTTTACACACTCAAATTCTAATATGCATCTATACATAGGTATTCACACTGTACACATCCAAAGGAATACAGTATTATATGAGAGTTCTGTTTAACCATTAAATAATGCATATATATTTGGGATTCAAATGGCCTGGAATCTAATTTTGCCCTGGGGCCCCAAAGGCTCTCAGTTCGTCACTGGTAGTTATAGTTGTATGTTGTGGAACCCGTCCATGGGTTTATGTGCGTGTATGCATATGTATGTGTGTTTGTGTATATGTATGTACTTGGCATATATATGTGCGTATGCATATATATGGGTTTATATATGTGTGTGCACATTTGTACATATGTGTCAGGATGGGGTAACCCCTACACACACAGAATAGGGAAACAATAGATAGTATGAAGTTAAAGACAGAGAGTGATACGTATACCGGATTCACATATGCCCAAGATAGGCAAAAATACCATGTCAGTATTTAAGCCAAAGTTAAGGATTCCAGAGGTACTCAGAAATGATAAAACAAGCTGGGGTCAAGGATATAGGAAAGCAGAATGGTCAATACAAAGTCAGGTCAGTAACAAGAACGCCAAATATTCAGAACACACTCTTGGGCAATAATAAGCCACGAATGGGCAATGATCCCAAGGAAAAGGGAAGTATATATAGAGATAACTCCAAAGCTATTTGACAGCATCACCACCCTGCGTCAAGTCACACAAAGGAAGTAATATGAGAAGATGATGTGTCCCATTAATATGGAGAAAATGTTACAATAAATTAACTTAGAATTACAGGGTCCTGTAACATTATGGATTCCTGTAGGTAGTACGGGGTTGCCATGGTGACCTGGCAACCTCTCGAGATTACCGACGTGCAGAGCGGAAATGAGGATCGCCAAGCGATTTCTGATTCAGAGGTGGCAAAACACGCTGCGCTCAGCCTGACCAGAGTGAGAACCCGGATATGAAGGCTGTGTATATATGTATTGGTGTTTGTGTATGGATATGTGCAGAGGCGTAACTAGAAACCAGGGGGGCCCCGGTGCAAAAATAGCCTTTGGGGCCCAACCTATACGTGTATGGGGGCCCCTCATAAACGTTGCCCCCATACACATACAGACACACACATGCATACAAACACACATACATACAAACACACACATACAAATACACAGAGACACACATACAAACACAAACACACACATACACACATACAGGCATACACACACACAAACATACAGACACACAGGGGTCAAGTCCTAGGGGAAAAAATTGTGGGAACTCACCCAAGATCCACCCCCCCTCAAAAAACAAATACACTTGTATGCATATATATGCACTCACACGCACACTGACAGGTGCACACAGACACACACATACACTCAGACATTCACAGGCGCACACACATAGTCAGACACTTACACAGTGGTGTATTTTAATTTTGTGCTGCCCAAGGCATGACTAAACCTGAGCACCCACAATTTAAATTTACCACTGTGGCAAACCTAGCCACTTGGGACTGCCTAAGATAGAATGGTTGTGCCTATTTTCTGTTGTGTACTGCGCGCCGGTATAGTGTGGCGTCTCCGGCTATGTTTAATTTATGCTGTACTGTGTATGTCTGTTCGAATCCTCCCCATTCGTTAGCATTGCTATTAAAACTGACTAAGTTGTATATTTTGAAGTAGAAAGGTAACGGTTTATGTCCTCGTAGTTTTCATTACTGTATGTTACAGCAGGGGCTGTTGGGAGGAGGACCTGGAAACGGTAGTCTCCCTCCAGTCCCCTCAACCAAAACCCCTGCTGCCCATCTTTGGAAACCCCTGTTGAGTGACCTGCTTTAAATATCAGTTATTTTTAATAAAGTGACAGTTGAGTGACCTGCTTTAAATATCAGTCTTTTTGAATAAAGTGGCAGCTGACTCTCAGACTGTGTTTCGTCTGGTTCTTGGGAGGATTTGGGAATATTGCCTGCTTCCAGCTTTGTACTTGGTTATTGCATTCTACCAGCAGAGATCCTGGGATTATAAAATTGCAGCTCTGCAACAATTGGTGGCAAGCGGCGGATCCAACCGTACAGCAGGAAAAACGCTGTTTATACAATTGGAATTGGCATACTGGAAAGCAGAAGGCAATTGATACAGATGCAGAAGTGAATGGGGACGGACTACACCATATTGAAACGGCAAACGTTAAAGGAGCTGTTGGAAGCCAGGGGTAAGATAGCCAGCAATAAGCCTAAAGCAAGACTTATTGCCGAGCTAATGGAAGGAGACCGAGCTCGTAGTGCTACACCCCCAGCAAACATGGAGGAGACCCCATTTGAACGAGAAATGAGGACAAGATTGGCATTTTGGCCCGCTCCAGTATCTCCAGAAATTATGACCATAATTTCGGCGGATGCACAGGAGTACGTGATGGCGCAAAGGAATCAAGCCTTCTCACCTCAAGCAGAAACCGCTGCTGTTTCAACTGTGGGCCAGGGAAGGCCAAAAATACCACATCATGCATTTAAAACTTTTTGCGAGGATAAAGACGAAATAGATGGATTCTTGCAAGATTTTGAAAGATTGTGTGACTTGCATGATGTAGAGCAAGCTATGTGGGTACCTTTGTTGGCAGGCAAACTGTCTGGGCGTGCAGCAGACGCCTACCGGGCTGTACCCAGAGAGGACAGCAAGAATTATGACAAGGTAAAGCAGGCGCTATTAGAAAGGTATGCCATTACCCCAGAGGCATACCGGCGCAAGTTCCGAGAATTGAAAAAAGGGGACAAAGACTCACATGCGGAGTGGGCACACAAGCTTGACCAAGCCTCACAAGGCTGGATACAAGCCAGCAGAGCTACCACCATGGAAGAGTTACGCCAGATGTTGCTACTGGAGCAGTTTTGTAATGGCCTGGCACCAGAGGCTCAAGAATGGGTGAATGACCGAAATCCTCACACCCTAACCGAAGCGGCACGATTGGCCGACCAACATTATGATGCTAGGAGGCATCATAAAAATAATAACCGAGGGTATGCAAAACCCAACCCGCAACCGCTTCCAGTTATTGCTCCTGCCCCAGCGACAGCACCATCCAGACCAGCACTTGTGGGACAACCTCCCCACTCCCGTTATAATGGCAGGTCCAACATCCAGTGCCATGCCTGTAAGCAATGGGGGCACATGGCCCGGGAGTGCACCCAAAACCGGAGCCGCAAGAACTGGAATCAGCTCCGGCAGAATATGGCCCCGCTGGCAGCTGCTCATTATTATCATGCAGAGCCAACTTTGCCAGGAGTGCCGCTTGAGTCGGCTGATGAACCCCTGGGCGTTTTGCATGATGTAATGTCCATCCATGCTACTGACAACCGACAACCACATTGCCAGACCGTGACTCTGGAAGGGAAAGAGGTACAGGGGCTACGTGATTCCGGCGCTACCTTAACTTTGGTTGCCCCGCATTTGGTGTCAGGATCAGCACATACCGGGGGATCGGTAGCAGTCCGGGTAGCAGGGGGTGCCATGTACTGGCTACCAACTGCCAAGGTACATCTGAATTGGGGTGCGGGGGAAGGTATGGTGGAGGTGGGGCTGATGCACAAGTTACCAGCTGATGTTGTTTTGGGGAATGACCTGGGGCAAATGACTTCCGCTTTTGTGCCCCAAAGTCCTCGCCATGAGGCATATCCGGTGACCACCCGTCAGCAGGCTCGCACCACGGCTTCATCTTCCACACACTCTGAGGCTCAGGTAAGAGACAATGTACCCCGTGTAACCCGTGTTTCCTGGGATACCCTGACTGACTTTGAGGCAGAGGTTAAAAACGATCCCACGTTGCAAATTTATAAGGATAAGGCGACAGCTGGTC